TCATTATATGGACTCAGATGTCAAAAGGCTGCAAACATTCTACAAAGAATATGGTCAACTAAAGCAACAAGAGGATGCAAAGACAAGAGGATATAAACACTCATACAAGGTGCACTTAACAAAGTTCAAAATGTCAAATTATGGTGATTGACAAAGTACAACAAAAAGGAGCTCAAAACAACATTATCAGCAATATACGTCGACCGGTTTGTGCCATACGTCGACTGGTATCTATGCAAAGGCAAAACTCAAAGAACAGCTCGCATACATCGACCGGTTTGACACATACGTCGATCAGTATCTATACAGAAGCAAAATTCAATGAAGTGCTCATATACGTCGACCGGTTTGAAGCATACGTCGATTGGTATCTATGCAGTAGCAAAATTCAAGGAGAAACTCATATACGTCGACCGGTATCTAGGCAGTACTGAAATATTAGGAACTCAACATATACATCGACCGGTTTGATAAAGGATACGTCGACCGGTTTATGACACACGTTGACCAGTTTGGTCATAACTCTGTAGATTCAAAATTCAAACGGCTAGAATTTCATTTAATGCTTTCAACTACCTACAATAGCTCTATTGAATTTGAAATATCTACAAATAGAGAAGGTTGGAGCTCAAAGAAATTATACACACAAGTGAGAATACTCAAGAACATCATTCAAGAGCATTCAAAGAGCCTAAAATTCTGATCTGAGCATTTACTTCTCATTTTCTCTCTCATATCAGTTCAGAGACTAGAGTTTCATTTATTTCATCTACTTACTTTAGTGTGAAAGTTATTCTTGTAATATCTTCTAGAAAGAGATAGAGAGAGAGAAACAATATTGTAATCTTCATCTTTATATCTCTACCATCTTATAAGGGTTGGTGTGACCCAAAACCAAAGCTTAGGAAAAAGGTGTTCTCCAAGCAAGGAAGAGAAGCATAGTTTTGCTTCAATTGACAGTTTGCTCTCCACCATTAAGGAGGAGCTTTAGTGATTTTGGAAAGTCTCAAGGGAGGACCTTTAGCCGAGGAGTAAGAGCTTCTGAACCTCGCTAAATCGCTGAGTCACTGTTTGCAATTCTCTATCTCTATCTTCTTTAATTGTGCTTATATTGCTTGAATATTTTTACTGTGTATTGCATTCTATGTTATTGAAGATAAATTTTTAAAATTACAAACATTGGCCATTGATTCTATTCACCCCCCCTCTAGAGTCAATTAGTGACTAACAATTGGTATCAGAGCCTAATCTCTAGAAAAAGATTTGACCATCTTAGAGAACGATCATGGCAAATACAATGTTTCACCAAGAAGGTCAATCTAATAATAGACCTCCATGGTTTGATGGAAGTGACTACAACTATTGGAAAATCAAAATGAGAGCATTCCTAAGAGGCATAGATATAGATGTTTGGAAAGCCACCGAACAAGGAGACCATGTTCCAACCAAGGTAGTAAATGGTGAAAATATTCCAACACCCGATATTGAATGGACCCTAAATGACCGTAGGCTTGTACAATGCAATGTCAAAGCCATTACAAATCTCTATTGTGCCTTAAACAAAGACGAATTCAATAGAATTTCGGATTGCGAAACGGCTAAAGAAATTTGGGATAAACTTGAAGGTACCTATGTAGGTACTAGTCATGTTAAGGAATCCAAAATGAATATGCTCGTACATAAATATAAACTTTTTACCATGAATGGCAAAGAAACTATTAGTGAAATGTACTCTCATTTTACTAACATTGTGAATCCTTTGAAGGCTCTTGGAAAGTCATACACATCATCCGAGAATGTGAGAAAAATTCTTAGATCATTGCCTAAGAATTGGGAAGCCAAGAAGACCGCCATCCAAGAAGCCAAGAATCTCAACACACTTCCCACAGATGAACTCATTGGTTCATTAATGGCATATGAACTTGAAATGAATGACAGAGATGAAGAAAAAGAGACTCAAAAGAAGGACATTGCTCTTCAACCTACTACCACAATCTCCTTCACATAAAAAGCACCAAGTGCCTTCGCATCATTTGTTGCCTTAATAGGCAAAAAGTGAGCCGTCTTGGTCAATCTGTCAATGATGACCCATACGGCCTCTTTGCCTTTCCATAACCTTGGAAGACCTGTCACAAAATCCATAACAATTTGCTCCCATTTCCACTGCGCTATAGGCAATGGTTGCAATAAACCGGTTGGTCTCTAATGCTCGGCCTTCACCTGCTGACAGGTAAGGCATCTAGCCACAAACTGTGCAACATCTTTCTTCATCCCATTCCACCAATACTGATATCTTAAATTGTGATACATTTTAGTACCACCTGGATGAACTGCAAAGTAAGAAGTGTGAAACTCTTGTAAGACATCCTCACGACAAACTGTGGGAACCACCAACAAACCACTGAACTATAGACCCCCATCTTCATGCAAGGCCTAATCTTTCACTGTCTCACCACTAGAGATCAAAACGTGAATGGCATCTAAATCTGGGTCCTATCTCTATGACTCCATCACTCGTACAACAAGAGTAGGCTGAGCCACAAAACTAAACAAGAATGCTGGCTCACTGTCAACATCGTCGTCAAAATAATACAATCCCATCTCTACAAAATCCTTAAGCATCTTCCACTTCCAAATAGCCAAACCGGCCAAAGTCCCCCGAGATTTCCAGCTTAAGGCATCTGCTACCATATTTGCCTTGCCCGGATGATACTGCAAGTCAAAGTTGTAATCTTCCAAGAATTTAACCCATCTTCTCTATCTGTTATTCAAGTCCTTTTGAGAAAAAAGATACTTTAGACTTTTATGATCCGAGTATACCTCGAATCTCTCACCATACAAGTAGTGTCTGCAACACTTTAAAGCAAATACGACTGCCGCTAACTCTAAATCATGAGTATTATAGTTAAGCTCATGAGTCTTTAACTGTCGAGACCCAAAAGCCACTACTCTACCATCTTGCATCAACACACAACCCAAACCATCACGTGAAACATCACAATAGATCACATAACCCAAGCCACGCTCAGGTATCACCAACACTGGAGCTGTAGTCAATCTTGTCATCAAATCCTGAAAAGATGACTCATAGGCTTCATTCCAGACAAACTTGATCCCTTTCCGGGTCAAACGGGTCATAGGCGCTGCCAAGCGAGAAAAATCCTTCACAAATCTTCGGTAGTAACTCGCTAAACCAAGAAAACTTCGGATCTCAAAAACATTCTTGGGTTGTTCCCAATTCAGAACTGCTTCTATCTTTGATAGATCCACTGACACTCCACCTTCCGAAACAACATACCCTAAAAACTTCACCTCTTGCAGCCAAAACTCACATTTCTCATATTTGGCATACAATCGGTGCTCCCATAAAATTTGCAATACAATACTTAAATGGATCTCGTGCTCCTCCTGAGATCGTGAATACACAAGAATATCATCCAAGAAAACTATCACAAACTGGTCCAAGTAATCGTGAAAGATGTGGTTCATCAAGTCCATGAATGCTGCTGGCACATTAGTCAAGCCAAAAGGCATAACAAGGAACTCATAGTGTCCATACCGTGTACGGAACGCTATCTTCGGGATATCCTCATCCCTAACCCGTAACTAATAGTATCCTGACCTCAAGTCAATTTTCGAGAAACAATTGGCTCCCCTCAACTGATCAAATAAATTATCTATCCTTGGCAAATGATACTTGTTATTGATGGTGGCATGATTCAACTTCCGATAATCAATGCCCAATCTCAAAGAACCATCTTTTTTCTTAGCAAACAAGACCGGTAGGCCCTACGGTGACACACTCGGTCGGATGAAACCTTTCATCCTTGAATCATCAAGCTGTCTCTTCAATTCTTCTAATTCAACTAGTGCCATATGATACGGTGCCATAGAAATTGGTGTGGTACCGGGCATCAAATCAATAGTAAACTCCACCTCTTGATGTGGAGACAACTCTGTCAAGTCCTCTGGAAAAACATCCAAAAAGTCACGAACAACTGCCGAATAACCCCTTTCCACAATATCATCTTCTTCAGCTAAAAGACTAGCGAAGAAGTAATCACCAAAACCTCTTCCACGAATTACTTCGACCCCCATGAAAAAGAAACAGTCTCCCTCGGGAGTGCATACAGTGACCCTACCTCTGAAACAGTCGATCGTAGTATGAAACGAAGTTAACCAATCCATCCCGATAATGACGTCAAAATTAGTCATCTCCAGGAGGATAAGGTCAAACACAAAAGTCCGCCCGGCTATCACAATGGAACAATCCCTCACAACTTGGCTCAAGGACACTGAACCTCAACTAGCGTATCAACACACAATGTATGATCCATGAAACTGACCTCTAACCCCGATACAAGTGCAAATGACGATGAAATAAAGGATTGAGATGCACCAGAGTCAAACAAAACACGGGCCCAAGAACCAAACACTGGAAATATACCTCGGAAAACTGATGGACCAGAAGATGCATCAACTGGTGTAAGTGCAAAGACACGTCCCTGCGGTGCCTGTGCCTGAGAACTACCAATCTGAACACCAGACTGCTGCGCTGACACAGTAGGAGTATCCCTCCTAGCTGGTCGTGAACCTTGAGAAGACATAACAGGCTGTGGTGGTAGCGGTGGTCTGAAACTTAACTGAACTGTAGCCAACTGTGATGGCCTCTACCGTGACCCTCTGCCACTAGTGGTGCCTGCTCCCTGATTGGGACAGTCTCAAATCAAATGGCCACCACACCCATAACAAGCCCTCGGAGCTGAAGAAACTGAAGTCGATCTCATGGGACAATTGGACTTGTAATGTCCAGGCTGCTGGCACTGAAAAGAAACGACTCCACTCCTATCAGACCCAGCTAGTAAAGGAGTGGTAGGAGCAGATCGTGCAGACTACTGTCCCTAAAACTGAAATGACCACCCCTGTTCCTCTTCCTTGAAGGTCCCTCTGAAGATGACCTTGCATTTCTCTTTTGCTTCCACTATTCCCTTCTTACATCTTTATCTTTGGCCTCTGCCTCTAACATCAATGCCCTTTCCATTACTCAAAATAAACCTTGATGCCTGTGCCGTTAACAAAGGCCTCATTTTGAAATCAAGACCGGAAATAAACTTTCGAGTCATATCAACTTCACCTCTCACCATCTCTGGAGCAAAACGGGAAAGTGAAGTGAACTTGTTTTCGTACTCCGTCACCGACATATTGCCTTGGATAAGGCCAATAAATTGATTCCTTAACTCCCACCTCTTGGGAGCAGGGAAATACTTCTCATAGAATAGCTCGTTGAACCTATCCCAACTCATTTCTTCAATCTTATACTGATTTGTGACCGACTTCCACCAAAACTTGGCATCCTTTGAAAACTTGTAAGTGGCTAGGATGATTTTTAAGTGATCATCCGTCACATCCATAGAAGTTAATTGAGTTTCAACTTGATCCATATAGTCATCCGCTTCCATTGGATCCGCACCACCTTCGAACATGACTGGCATTAACTGATTAATCATCGTGAGACGTTTCTGTGCCGACGTCTCCTCTACCTGAACTACCGGTTGTGGTACCGGCTACGGTATCGGCTGCGGATGAGTAGCAATTGTGGCCATCAAGGCCTTCTGCAATAAGCGATTCAATGCAAGTTTCGCTGAACTTTCACCTTCTTCAATGGGTGTTTCAACATTATCCCTCCTTGTAGGAACAACTCTTGGGGCAATCAAATCCCTAAGAAGTGTGTCCTCATCAACTGGCTCCACCGGATTGGAGCTAGAGCTCTCGCCAACATCACCCCTTATTGGCCTAAGGCCAACTTCCCTAGGTTCCTTACGCCGTGACATCGTTCTATAAAACAAAGAAAATGGTTCAATAACGATGACACTAAGGTCCAACCGTGAACAACTCAACATAAAAGGATGCTATACTAACACTTAGCATGCAATGCTATGCAATGAACACATTAATATAAGCATATAAGCATATAAACACGTAAACGAGTAAACAGTTAAGCATGTTTTTTCACATAGCAAAACACTTTTGTAAATAATGAAATAACAAGACAAATGACTTCCCAGACAACCCTAGGTAGGCCATTACCCATCATCCTAATGGTTTTCGAACCAAGGCTCTGATACTAAATTTGTAACGACCTTAAACCGATACCATTTTAAAAAACATTTCGGCACGACCTCTGCTAAAAAAAGGCCTACAACAACCTGTTTGAAAAAAAAAATCAATGGCCTTTCTTGGCCTTTCAAGACATATTCAACCTGTCCCAACACACCATACAAATATATATATATATATATATATATATATATATATATAATACATTCCCCAATACCACAACATCAACAACTTTCCCAAGTTAACCTATCATCGTCATCCCATTCAACTTAAGCATTTACATAGTCTCGCTTCCCTTCAAAATACCAACAAGAGTTACGATTTATATATAATACATGACCTTGGCTTGCAAAAATGAATACACGACATTCTAATTTTGAGACTATACAAAAAAGAATGGGCTAAAATTCAAAAGATAACAAAATACAACTCCTAATCTTCTTCAAACTTGCTGGGGATTATCATCCACCACTTCTTTTCCGAGCCCTGAAAAATGTTAAATAATGGGGTGAGCAAAAAACTCAGTAGGTGGTGCCTAAGATGCACCTCTTGTGACCCCGTGAACCCAAATAATGAATAGGACATTAGGGAGAGGGGTCATGCTCAACCGGGGAAAATACAATGTAAATCCACAAGTTCAAAACAAATGAATGTCGTGCCATGAATGCAATGTCATGCATGTCACTCCCCATTTTCAGAAAACTTCCATCACTTCACAAACTGTTAATATAACCCGCCCTTTGGTGACTCCGCAGCGACACGAGAGAAGGATTGGCTACTGTCCCTGACCTTTGGTACCTCCGCAGCATCATTTGGGGCCTAAATAGCTCAACCACGCTAGGGCAATTTCCCTAGTTCCCTCTAGGCTATATTAACACACCGGCCCTTTAGTGACTCCACGGCGACTGGATTTCCTCAAAACCGTTTCATCAAATTCTCACCAAAAATCCCCTTTTTCATTCTTATCAAATCATTGTACCATTTTTCATGCCTATGCTATGAATGCATATCACATGCCTTTTTAATACTATGGAATTGGAGAGAATTATTATCACACAATTAACATACTTTCACATAAAATTTCTAATAAATTATTAAGTATCATAGGCATGGAAAAATTAACATATTAAGCATACTTCACAATAATTCTAAGAGAATTTCCATAAACTTCTATAAATAATTTCTAGCAATTTTATCAACACAATAATATAGAGAATCCAATAATCAAGCATATTTTTCATACAATTCAACAATTTCACATAATTACATGCTATATATACAAAATCAAGTCATTTAAGAGGCAAATAAATCAAATTGATCATGCTTGACAACAATTATGGTAGAATAACTCACAAAAGCACAAGAAAGTGAGAATTAGAGACCCCTACCTCAATTTTATGCAAAACCCCCAATTTTCACCTTAAACCCCTCAAAATGGGTCTCAATTTTCGGACTTCCTAGAGTGGCCAAAAGCTGAAATTGCTGGTATTGATTTGCAGATCTCATCGTGGGCTTTAATTTGCCGCAAACGACATCCAAAATTTCCAAAAGATGAGTAAGTAATCAAGAGTTGAAGTTGTAACAGAAAAAGAAAAAAAAAAAAAAACACAACAGCGAGAGAGAGAACTGGTTGAGAGAAAGAAAGCTGATTGTATATAAAAAATGGGTCTGCTATCCACTAACCACATAAGGCCTTAAGGTAAGGTGGGTCCCACAGCTAAAATAAAGAATTTCTTTAATTAACATAATATATATATATATATATATATATACATATAAAACACAGACATTACATTTTATATCCTGGCAAGTAACACATGCACCTACATGCCCTTTTAAGGACTTGAATTCGCAATTGAAAGGTGAGGAACAAATATTAGGCTAAATTGGTGATCTGTCAAAGAGGAATTAACTACGGATATTTTAAGTAATAGATAAATGAATCAAATTATATTAAATGGATTGACTTAGGAGTTTAGTTATTGTTCAGTGTTGAACTTCAAAGTATTTCTTTGAGGGTTTATGAAGAGTTACTAATTGTTAATGTGAGACCTCTTTGAATTAAAGTTTTTTAAGCATAAATTTCTTATTATGATTTGGAAAGTCTACTTCCAATAGGGAAACTAGGGTTTTATTACAAATTAGACTTGGATGAATTTTGAATTTTATTCTATCAAACAATTTTACTTGAACCTAACTTTATAAAAAGAAAGTTCAAGTTGTTTTCTCTTATCTAAGGCTTATAATTTACGAATTCAAATATTTATTGCATTTAAGGAAATTAGCAAAAGGTTACTTCTTCATGATTCTTAAAAAGCCTAGACCTAAAATTTACAATGACCTAAAATTTACAAATTCTTGGGTTTATTTCATTTAAACATAATTTTTATGGATTTTAAATGTAACGACCTGAACCAGAGGGTTCGAATCGCTAACCAGGTTCTTACCCGAACCCGAGGTCGTCTAAGGGCACTATGGTAAGTTCTAAGGCCGATACATAATGTACGTGTCATCCCAAAACTTATACAAAACAAATGAAATCGCATATATAAAAGATAATAAAACAGTCCACTAACCCATTTAAACCTATGGAGGAATGTCATCCGCCACTTCCTTTCGTATCCTGAAAAATATTAATAATAATGGAGTGAGCATAAAGCTCAGTAGGAAGCATCTAAGACACACCTCTTATGACCCCATGAATCCATACAATGAATAGGATACGAGAGAACGCGATCATATCTCAGGGAAAAACAAACAAAACAACGATAATATCAATAGATACATACGCAAGTCGTTCAATCACCAAGCGTGCAATGTATGCCAATGCAATGCCATGCCATACAATGTCGCTCCCCATTTCCGAAACAATATCGTTTCAACTTCCAAACCGTTAGTATAATCCGACCTAAGGCACCTCCAAGGCGTTACGAATGGAGGGTTGACTAACTATCCACGACCACAAGGCACCTCCAAGACGTCGGATTCAGCCTAGTTAGCTCAACGATACTCCCTTCTAGACCACACTAACACCACGAACCACTAGGCGCCTTCTAGGCGTCCGGTTTTCACAAACACTTTTCAAAAAAAAAAAACTTTTCCCAAAATCAAATTAATTGTTTTAAAACAAACTTTTCCCTTTACTTTCCCAATGGCAATGCATGAATTATGCAATTTCTTCAATGCCATGACAATATAGAAATTCCATACACATCATCCACATTATTTAAGCATGTTTAAAACATGAATTTTCACACAATATCGCATTCTCATATTTCTAAATCATGACATTTTATATACTTTCAATTCCTAAATCTAACAATTAAATTCTACACATTCCATCAACGTCATATTCACATTTTGAGAAAAAAAAAATTATAAATAATTAATTCCACAACTAATAATCTCAAATTTACATAGCAATTGGTAAACATTTTACATACAACTTGTTATTATTGAGTATGTTTTTCATCACAACAAATTAATTAGGTTCATAGGCACAATTAACACACCATATCACTTATCATCATGAACACAACTAAATACAATCACTATGTTCAAAGTAACTAAAATTAAGCATGCTTATAACCAACTTTAGAAAGGAAAATTCACAAAGAATCAAAGAAATTGTGAATTAGAAACACCCCTACCACAAAGAATGTAAAAGTCCCAAATTATGCTCAATTTTTGAAAATCCATGGGTTGGTGTGATGCCCCTCGAATTCAAGACATGGGTTAATCAGGCCCAGGCCCAAACCCGAGGGAAATATCAAACAATTAAAGTATTTTAAATCAAACACAGATGACAAAATAAAATAATAAAGATAGAATAAAGTTGAAAGAAGTATTAATTATAAAACCCTCCATGTATAACTGAATAATAAAACTCTAATCCTCCAAAACTTCAAGGTTACAACTTGGGAATCCACTGGTGGACCCTAACCAAAAGTTCAACTGAAACTGAAACTGAAAATAGATAATGCTAGAAACATCGAGAGAAGTCCTACGTAATCAGATGAATGTGAGACTGTCCTCGATAAACACGATCAAAATCTAAGGCTGGAACCGTCCTGTACCTAAAAAGAATAATATAAGAGTGGGTCAGGCCCACGAGCAAGTTCTAATCTAACTGCAATCCATACAGTGACCCGATACGCAGATACATCGTAGACACCTCACAATATCTATCTAGTCCATACATATAAATATATCCACACTAAGGGACATTCACTGGTCTATAATAGGGTTCTTAACCTGAATAGAAGGCAACATGCGAATACGCACCCAAAGGTGGGTATGAGTACCTAGACCTAATGGGGTATACTTTAACCTATTATAACCAGCTACGCATCCACCGCATATACGCACCCTAACCAATGAGTCTGAGACTCAAGCTCAACTCGTGGTACCATAAACATATATAAAGTCCGTCCAAATCCAGGGTATGAAGTTCAACTATTTATTAAACTGACATAGAACAAACCAACTAGTTAGTCACTCAACTTATTTAGTTGATATAACTTAACTACCATCCGTTAATCCAGGTTGCCACTCAACTTAGTTGCAGTTGATATGACTTAACCAAAATTAAGATTCAATATTTATAAATCCATTCATTTAATCCGTTAGGTTAGGTTTAGGCGTTTTGAGCTAAACCGTCCCTAGTATGCCACCGTCCCATACCGGTGCATACATTCTTCCATATCCAGGTAAATTACAATGTATACATAATGAACAAGTAATTTACAGTCCAAAACCACTATCCAAATAATTGCAAAAAAGTATTTAAAGTTTCAGCAATTTAAATCCAAGAATTAAACCATATAATTGCAGGAAACAGTTTAATAGTTTATACAACTAGCATCCAAAGCATGCATAGACCCAATCTAATATATCAATGATTCTATCATGCATTTTAAAATAAATTTTATAATCCTATTATAGTCCAATAAATTGCTAAATTAATCTAAGCAATTTATTTCCTCCCATCGGTAACAGTGTACTAAGTTAATTATATGCTTTTATACTGTTTCATCCTTTATCTTAGAGACTTAAACTATGCAACAACAAGTTTAATCACACTTAGAATCAAATATTTAGATCCTCTGTAAAGTCCCCACAATCCATTAGAGACATCCAAAAGCTCAAACAGTGCCCAGAATACCAAACAGTGCCTTAGAAAACTAAAAAAAAGATAAAATTTAACGTAAATTGAAGAGGGAGCCTGCTCCAAATTTTGGGAGCAGGCTCTTTCAGCCTAGAGCCAGCTCTAGGAGTCCTTGGAGCTGGCTTTACTTGTGTGGGAGCCGGCTCCCACATCTATGGAGCCGGCTTTCACCTCATTTGAGAGCCTTCGTCCCCATTCTGCTCCGTTTCAGTCCGTCTGCTCCCTCTCTGATCAATTCCTACCAATCTGTTGGGTTCTAAAACTAATCTTAGGAGTCTTAATTGAGTCTAGAAGCATCCCCAAGGTTGTTTACAATAACTGGGACCAATTGCAGAGGTTAGATTTAGCCATTAGACTAGCATGTTTACAGTACGAAATTTAAACTAACTTGCAACGTCCATTCCATTCCAACTTTTCTATTCCTCTTCACCCCTGAACGTAAAGATCTTATATCATCATAGTAACATTCCCATGATTTATTTACAGAGGTTAAAGGCAATTACAGAGACTAAAATTGCTTAACAACATAACATGCTTAAAACAGAAAACTGATCAAGACTTGAAACAAGCTTGCACGCATTATACCAAAAACTAATTTAACACGTAAAGATCATCAATATATTATATAGTAAGCATGTAAGTTCCGATTTAATAATTAATTAAACCCTAGAGATTATCTAGGTGCACAGAACACAAGCCAGAGGGAAGGAGGAAGAGAAGAACTTGCCTGTATAGTTTTATAAACAAAACCTTGTCGTCATTGTTCTAAGCTTTCCGGCAACCACTACAATATGTCTAACCTCCTAATACTTCTGCCCTTTCCTTCTCCTAGGTTTGGTCTTGAAACCTCAGTTGAGAACTCACAAACTTGCCCTGTTCTCTCAAAACCACAAACTTACTCTGTTCTCTCAAAACCTCACTCTGTATCTCACGTGCTCCGTTTCACTGTGTTATGAATAGGGTTCTTAAAACCCTAGGCAACCATATGACTTGTATATTTATAGGCAATTCCAAACCCTAATTCTAATTAAAACCCTAAACTGTAATTTAATCCGCCCATAGAAAACCTAGGTTATAATACATAATAGATACCTGTATGCCGTCTCTAAGAAAACCCTAATTAAAAAAAAAAACGTATTTAAATCCTCATTTATCTACATTACATAATTAACTTAATCAAAATCAACAATTTACAAATAATTCAAATAAATTCAAATAATTTCAAATAAACAAGCAACAAAACCATTTAAATAATTAAAAATACAAGTAAAAACTTAATTAAAATATCAGGACTATCCTCTTAAAATTAAGGGTATTACAGTTGGCCAAACAAGGGTTTGCTTTCCAATGTAGGTCTCAATAAGCTCTCCAACATTGCCCAAAGGAGTACCATCAAATTCACAAAAATAAATAAGGAATCAAGCCTTGAAAATCATGGCAAAAGAAAAGAAAAAAAGAAAGTAAGGGGAGAATGAGAGAACTGTCTAGAGAAAAGAGCTTTATGGTCTAAATGGCCTTATGGCCGTTAGAAGAAAAGATAGTGGTGGGTCCCTCACATATAAAAATCTTTTTTTTCATTTGACTTTTCTTTTCTTTTCTTTTCTTTCTTTTTTTTCTTTCTTTTTTATTTTTTATTTTTTTTAATTTTTTAACTTATTACTACACATATATAAAATTCACAAACATTACATTAAAACACCTTCAAATATTATTTCTCAAGAGAATCAGACCTAAAATTTTGTGAATTTTAGGGTTTGTTAGCATAAGTAGCCATGAGTTTCTTAGCAAGCAAATTAGAACATGGAAGGTCTCGTCTAGAGGTTGAGCCTTTTAACCTTTTTACCCCTACCCTGTGTGGCCAATGGCTGATTCCATTCTCTCTGTATCTATGCTCAATGCAAAAATAAGAATTCAATAACATTGAACTTTTGTTAGTGAAAGAGATTAAACTTTAGTTGCTATAAGAAGAAACTCAAAAAACTTGAAAATAACAAGAGCATGATTACGAGCAACAATTGCAATTATTGTGTAAGGTTACCACCAAGAATCTGTTCATCATCTACAAGTTCTTTCCAAATTTGCATCATTTGAAGAAGAACCAAGAATGTTATTTTGCTCTGCAGTAGCATTCCTTCCATTGGTTACACATGTTTTTGAGTTGAAAATGGAAAAACTTTATTATATATATATATATATATATATATATATATTACACGGTGGTTTTCACTGCTATTGAATTAAATTTTAATGCCAAATATATAGATATGTAATTTTCTATTAATAATAGAAAAAAGGTGAAAAATTAAGGAAAATCTTTCATGAACTTCTATTCATCGCCAAAATCGATAAAAATAAAGTCCTTTTTTTTTTTTTTGGTTAAAAATAAAAATAAAATCTTCATAATTAACAAGATGGGATATTTGATCTTCATCATCATTAACATTGTATGTTTTATCTTGCTCATAATCATCAAGATTGATGGGAGTTTCTGGCATGTTCTCCATTGTCGATAAGCTTATCTGGTTAAGAAATGGACTCTGATAAAAGCAAATCAATATTTATCTTATATATATAGAATATACAGTATTAACTAAAAGCTAGAAGGATACGAGTGATGCATGAACCAATTTTTATTGGACGAAGGGGTTCAGGAGGTTCACCTCCTGTCTTGCCGATTATCAAAAACAGGTTGTAGAAACGCGTAAAGTCGTCAATATGGAAGGTTAGAAACCGTATCTCCGTACAAAACAACTCTAAAAATGTCTCACACATTTAATTTGACTCACGAGAAAAGTTGAGTGACGAAAGAAATGGTTTTTTTATTTTGTTAATCTCTTTAGTAAAGGTGTTTATTTATTTAATTGCTGCAGAAAAGATAAAAATTACATAAATACATATTGAAGAGAAAGTTGATTCCTTATATTTGGGTAATTGGCTCAATGAACATTTTGATTGTTTTCATGCCCAATGAATTAGAAGCACTTATACAATCCTGTAAGTCCTTGTCACAGGCTATTAAAATCCGATCGCCGTCATCGTCTATATATTTGATCTTATAAATTCCAACATTGAACTTCAACCTCTTGGAGACTTCTTCTTCTAACTCCACCATTTTTGCTGAAAAATGTATTTGAAATTTAATCATATCATCACCGCATGTTGCCTTTATAGTCATGGTACTTGCTTCTTGTGGTGTTATTACAAGTGGAGTTATGTGAGAAAAAGTAGTCACGAGTTTCTCAGCAGTCAAATCAGAACAGGGAGGGTCGAGTCTAGAGGGAGAGTCGTCCACCTTATTTCTCTTACCCCGTTTCCAGCGGCGGATTCCTTTCTTTCTGCATATACGTTTAAACGTAGATCTGCTCACTGCAAAAATAAGAATTCAATAACAAAAAAATTATTTCTACAAGAAGAGACTCAAAAGTCGAAGATGATTAGAACAAGATTACGAGCAACAATTTCAATTAGTGTGTAAGCATACCACCGTAAACATTTGCTATGTCTTCAAGTTTCTTTCCGAAATGTTGTTCAAGTTCCTCATAAGTAATTGAATATGTGTCATCTGAACAAGTATCAACTTCAAGTGTTAGTTGTTGATTTGATGAATGTGGTTGCATCATCTCTTGTTCACTGTGCAAGACTCCAGGCCCGGATGGAGATCTGGTAGGTTCCCGATTCATGCGAGGTGTAATAATATAAATCGATAATTCTTTCCCGAGTTCTTCTCCAGATGAGAGCTTAAAGCTTGGAAAATGTTGCTTCATTGTTTCTAACATCGAGCACAGTAAGGTACTTGTGTCTTTACCATATGCTCTTTTCCGATTTAAAAAGAACTCTAGTACATAATCAACTTCTCTGGTGTAACAACTTCGCAAGGAAATCGAGAAACAGCCAGTTAACCCAAAATGACGTGCACCGGGCAGTAATGGATATTCAGTTAGGCTGAATTGAGTTATATCTCTACAGAAGCATGGTTTATGTGACAGATAGGCCCTCCCAACAACTCCCTGCCCCCTTTGTAAGTCATTAGACGCACATAACCCTGAGAATTCTACCAGATTATAATCTACAAGATATGATACTTCGTTTGGACCGTGCAAGACTTGTCCCACACAGCTTACATCAAAAAAGGTATTGGAGGAGCTATTGTCCATATTGCCATCAGTGTTCAAGGTATTGAATCTGCAAGGAATCCACATCTGAGCCAAAGGTAACTTGTGTTTTTTGCACATCACTTGCAACCCTTTGTAGATTTCATCATTTGTATCTCTATAAATCTGGATTGTAAATTTTGTGTAGTATAGAAATTTATTGATGAGAACAGGGTACTGAAAACATACACGGAAAAAGAGAGAGTATGAGATCTCACATTTGCATATTAAGCCTGTAACTTACCGAAGATCTATGACAGTAACACAGAGAACTTCTCAGACCTGCAATCTACAAGAGATGAGAACAAGAGAAGAGAAGTGAGTAATTTGTAAGGTTTAAATTAATGAAAAGGAAAAATCATATCATCTTCAACCCAAGTAGAAGAAATAAATACAAATTACGGGTTTCAAGTTTCAACAAACCTTGAGCAAATAATCCAAAAGCGAATAACACACCAGTAGCAATAATCCAGAAGGTGTATTTTTTACAAACTCAAGCACTCCAACACAGCCCTGAAAAGAGGGGTGAAACAGCGGGAAAGCAGAGGAAGCCCAAATATTGCAAGTTAGGGCAAATTCGCGCTGTGGGTACTCTTTGCTAGAGTAAATTCGCACATCTTCAGTACGCTCATGCAATTTTTTCCGGAACACACGACCCTGGATTCCAAGGTGTTCTTCTGTCCCATCCAAATCAATTTCATATTCCAAACAGTGCTTCCTATACTTAAGAAGTCTTTCATCAAGATCATAAGAAAGAGCAAAAGGTTGGTCTGAAGTTACAAGCTGGAAACACCCTGTTTCTGTTGTGATGGGTGTCCAAAACTGAATGAGAGTATGATCCATATAGTTATTACGATGGAAGTTTTGAAGCGCAGATTTGATCTTCTCTATAACGATCCCTTGATTGGTGGTGGGGCTGTGAGTTACCCAATCCGTAATACCACCACCTACATCTACACGTTCATTTGAAAATTAATTTCCTTATATATATATACACACATATATATAGTTGTGTGTGTGTGTTTTTTTTTTTTTTGAATGATAAGCTGCTATTGAATTAAATTTTCTATGACAACTAGGTATTTTACTCTTAATAGAATAAATAAATTAAAAAAAAAAAAAAAAAATTGGAGTGAGAAATAAAGAGAGACACAGATAGAAGCAGCTTACTGAAAGGAGAGAGGGTTGTCTCGCACCAAAACGCCCACAGGTGGTCTTTTGACAGAGGGCGCCGGAAAAACACTGTACTGGGCATATCCTTGATGAAATTATTGAGGATGTATTCTTCATCATGGTTTGCCATCTCCGCCATTGTCGATGAGCTACCTACCTGGTTAAGAAAATGACTCTGCATTGTGCACGTCAATATATATGATATAGTAATGCATACCGATCCCCCCTATGTTGTTGAGCTGGATCTGCTGCTCCATCGGATGGTGAAGATCGCGCCAGCTCAGCTGCAGACCAATGGGAACCCATTAGAGTAAGACGATGACGTTCGGTTAAAAAGGCCAAAAGGATATACATGAGGAGAAAATTTTCCACTGCTCACAAAATGCAATATGTCAATAAAAAGGCCGGCCAAAATGTATTGGGCCAAGAGCCCAAAACCACACCAAGCAGCTAAAGGTCTATAAAGAAAGCATTGAACACCAAATCGGCCCGAAAATAAGAATGAAGTCCAACAAGCCCAATCCAAGGCCTTGGTCAATACAACTGGGAGTAACGCTCGCCATCAAAATCACAAGAAATCGGAAAGAAATAATGTTCATATATGAAACAGTTGTCCCATAATTACCTCCTTGTATAGATATAAATAAGGGAGCAAGACCCAAATGACGGCATTCTGTTCTATTTGCCCTTGTTCTTCCTTAATCTCATTGTTTTTATTCTTTCTTCTCATAGGCTACACATATATTTATTCTTTTCTTTGAATATTTTGGAGTATTTAGTAATCCTCTATTGTTCTTGATGGAGTGTTCAAGCATTAAAATTTCTTCCTTGATCTCATTGTTTTTATTCTTTTTTCTCATAGGCTACACATATATTTATTCTTTTCTTTGAATATTTTGGAGTATTTAGTAATCCTCTATTGTTCTTGATTGAGTGTTCAAGCATTAAAATTTCTGGATTGAAACTCAGTGTTCGGTCCGAGATTTTGTGCACCTATATTTTGGCGCCGTCTGTAGAAAGTTACGAAAAGCCTCTCACTACCTATTTGAATTTAGATACATGCAACATCACTCCAGTACAACGATACGATCAGATGCCATTCAATTGTAGCAATTTAAAATCATACAAAAATTGGGTGAGGAGATATTAGCGTAGTTTGACACCATAAGCCAAGCTAATGAGGCAAGTGCTGAACAGATCAACACATTAAGGCAAGCGAACGAGGCTAGCACAGCATGAAAGGGCAAGATTACAAACAACAATTTCAGTTAGTGTGTAAGCTTACCACCAAAAATCTGTGCAACATCGTCAAATTTCTGTCCGAAATGTTTTTTGAGTTCCTCATAAGTGATTGAATCTGCCTCATCTGAACAAAAAGCATGACTGGTATTTCGCTTTTCATTGACAACATTCTTTCCATTGTTGATATCATCAATTTCAACTATTAGTTGTTGATTTGATGAATGTGGTTCCATCATCTCTTCTCCATCATGTAAGACTCTAGGTCCAAATGGAGATCTAGTATTTTGGCATTGAAATGATGCGTGTTCCTCATTCATGAGAGCCCCGTCTGAGCAAGAAATAGAATTGTTATTTCGCTCTTCATTAACAACATTCCTTTCGTTGTTGGCATCACCTACTTCAACTATTAGTTGCTGATTCATAAGATGATCTGCACCCGGCATATCTTTCTTGAAAGTGTTGAGATTGTATTCTTCATCTTGTTCTAGAAATAGAATTGTTATTTCGCTCTGCATTAACAATATTCCCTCCATTTTGGATCAAGCACATCAATATATAGTTATTTGCCAAAAGGAGAGACGTTGAGTGTTAAATGGACCATTTTCCGAGTGCAACTATTAGAAACGTGCTAGTTTTAAAAACTTTTCGAGTGATTTTAATTCATAAATCTTGATTCATCACATAGAGACAAGTTTTATGTAAAAATAAAACATGATGTATCATTCAATTAAAAGATTGAATACTTACATCAAGGTTTGAGTAAACCTTAGATCTCTCCTCCAAAGTGAATGTTCTCACTTATTGTAAATCCCTTTTGCTAGAAACCTTTTCCATGGATCTCCATCTTCTTGGTAATAGTCTTACCTTTAGGAATCACTCATAAGCCTCCATGAATGACCTTGGAAAATTAGGCTTGTGGGAGCCTCCATTAAATGAGAACACTAACCCTAATTTTCTAGAGAGAGAAAATATATTCCTTTTTTCCTTCTACTAAAAATCACCCCTAAAATATACATAGACCATGTATATTTATAGGCAACATAAAAATAAAGAAAAGGAAACAACAATTCATTCTCAATCTCTAATTCACATGTCTCAAATCTAATAGGATTACAATATCAAGTTGGGTTATGAGTGAGAATCCTTTGGGTTCATTATTTTATTGGCTACAATGAATTAATAATTGGCCCGGTCTATGGACCCAATTCAATTAATTCATAAATTAATTTCTACTCCACTAAAAGAAATTAATTGAACTCCAATTAAATAATAAATAACCTCTAAGTCAATGTTGCACTTTGACTCCTCTATGCATAATTAGTTGTCGAATAAATAAAGTCATCAATCCGACTACTTAATTAATATATTTGTTTTGACACCATTGATTATTTCTGGTTCGATCACAATAAAACATTTGTTTGACAAAAAATAATAATTTAAATAAATAAATATATAATAAATCATTTTGTCTAAAAACATACGAAGGCTTTCGAATTTACTTTGTGATCAACCATAATCAATACAAAATAAATACAAGTAGCAATAATACAAATATTGAAAATATAACCTTCTAACTATTAATTACATAACTACTCAAAGTGTCGGTCTAAGGATCATGAAGAATCTGCCGAACAAATCAAAGTAATTATTAATTAATAAAAGAATCTATACTTTTCTCATACTTAAAAGTCAAATGCCATGACGGTGATAGGAAGCAATTACATACGATGGCTCTCGCAATATATCTCAACTTAACGCGGATCCGGTTCAAATCTTAATTAATTATGAGTCCATCCATAATTACCGACTATGAACAATTTATGATTACTATTTATATTCATGTATTGATCGCCATCACATACATATATAAATCTCTCTTGTAATCAAGTGGACACTATTATTTCTATAATGAATCGAAACATAATACATTGAATTCACCTATTGTATAAAGTATAAATATTTCAAAAACGTCAGGAACTTATGTCACTACAATCCAAATAGGAATTTGCTATGCCAGGGCATATAAATCCCAACAGCTCCCACTTGCCCTCATAGCCAATTCAGATTGCATCTAACTCCAATGTTATCTAGGTAACGATCAATACTATTGATCATAACACCTTTGTTAATGGATCAACAAAGTTGTGTTCCAACGCAATGTTATAGCCACGAGTACATTTTCTTACCGGATAATATCATGTAGGACATGATACTTTGCTCTCAGTATACCTTATTCCTCTATGGAACCTTGGGTCATTGGTTTGGACTACTTCTGCACTATTGTCACAATATAGTTCGATAGGTAAGCTAGTATACTCCACAACCTCTAAATCAGTGAGATCAAACCAAAATGCTTCATTTGCTGCCATTAAGGCTGCAATGGACTCCACCTTCAGGTTTGAGTCAGCAGTTGAAATCTGGTTAACAATTTACCAACTGATTTTCCTTCCATTAAGAGAACATACACTAAGTCATGAACCTCATAGTATCTACTTCTGATTAAAAATCAGAACTAGCATACTTGATTGGAACCACATCATCACATCCATAAATGAGTATGAGATCGTTGGTTCTCCTAAGGTACTTTATGATATTTTTCACAACAGACCAGTTATCAAGTCCGAGTTCAGACTGATATCTACTTGCTATCCCTACCATATAGCGAATGTCTTGTTCGGTGTAGACCATGGCATATATGAGACTCCCATATACCGAAGCATATTGTTCCAGTCTCATTTGCTCAATCTCCTCTGATAGTCTTGAAAAACTACTTACTAGAGAGAGCAATCCATGTCAATCAAGCAAGAACTCGTTCTTTGAGTTTTGCATACCAAACCTGGTCAAAACTTTATCAATGTAGGATTATTAAGATAAGCCTATTTTCCTTTTAACCTGATCTTGCATAAGCTTGATCCTACGAATATAGCTTACATCTTTAAAATCCTTCATTTCAAAATAATTGAACAACTACTTCTTTACTGATGACAAAACTTTCCATATCATACTAAATGAGTAAGATGTCATCAATATATATAGAATTAGAAAAATAATGACATTCCCTTGTACACTCTTCCTCTATCACTCCTAATGGTCTTAATGTTACACTCTTGTTTGTTCTCAACTCTTTTGCAAAATTTAGCAAAAATTGAATGGGTTTCATTTTTGTGGGTAAGGAAAAACATCCGAGTGAATCTAGAGTAATCATCAACAATGACAAATGCATAGAGTTTTCCACTAAGACTTGTAATTCTCTCCGGACCAAATAGATCCACATGAATCAACTCAAGTGGTCTTGAAGTAGTTAAGTCCTTTTTCCTTTTAAATGACGATTTAATTTGCTTCCCTATTTGGCATGCACTACAAATTTTATCTTTTAAAAAATTAGCCTTTGGGAGGCCTTTGACTAATTCATTTTTAGATAATTTCGAGATCAAATCCATGCTAGCATGAGCCAACCTTCTATGCCATAACCAACTATTTTCATTTTAAGAAACAAAGCACTTAACATCTTGATCATGTATTTCACACAAAAGCAAAGTATATACATTACCATTTCTAAGAGCATGAAATACTTCATCATTATTCCTTTTAACAATGTATTTATCCGATTGAAACAACACATCATATTCTTTATCACATAGTTGGCTAATGCTAAACAAATTATGTTTTAAGCCTTTAACAAGTAAGACATCATCAATAGATAAGGAAGATGATATACCAATAGATCCGATCCCGATAACCTTGCCTTTTGAATTATCTCCAAATATAACACTTCCTCTTTTGTGAGACTTGATAGAGAGAAATTTTGATCGATCTCCCGTCATGTGTCTTGAGTAACCACTATCAAGGAACCATTTGTCCTTGGATGAGTATGGAGGCTTCAAGCAAACCTACAAA